CCACCCGCCCGCCCGCCGCTCGGTCTAGTGGCGCGAATGAGAATCGAGCCGCGGTGCTGTGCGAGAGGCGTTGGAGACGCGGCCGCGCGCGGGGGAGGGAGGTGTCCGGGGGTGGCCAGCTGTGGGCTGTCGCGACTTACCCTAAAGGGTTACAGTTCGCCCCTCCCCCCCCCCATTCTTCTCCCGTCATGTGGAACTGCCGCGGTGCGGTGCCGGTTGCCGGTGGTGCCGCGCAAGTGACATGCGCCTGGACCTGAACGTCCGAGGACTTACCGTGTGTGGGGATGTGAGTGAGGCTATTGTCGCGAAGGAGAGCAAACTTCCTGGTGCTGCTCCTCGCCTTATTCTCGCCTCGACGAGAGATCGCACCCGGAGCGACATTAGGCTCGGGGCCGCGCGCGCCTTCGGCCACCCCTTGCAGCTGGCAGCACGGCGGCTGCACCTCGGCGATGCCGTACCTGCCACGCGGAGCCCATTTGCCACCGAACATGCGATGCGTGCCATGCGGGTGCGGGTCCGGATAGTAGTAGTCGGCCAGATATTAAACGCCTTGTTGAGTTGATTACTTCCGTGTGCTCGGTTGGCACACGGCGGCGTGGGCGCGCTGCGCTTGCTGAGCCAGCAACAGAGTTGCCAGTGTGTGTCGTTCGGGAGGGGCGGGGGATACTACGCACACCCGCTTAACTCCAACAAAATTGTGTTAATTTAAAAAGAAGGGGTAGTGATGCAAGTGGTGTACCCGTAACAGAAGGGGTTTGGACTCCAGAACCGTAGCGGTAAGAGAAGAACAAATTTGAAAGTCAAAATCGTTAAGACTTAAAACTACCATAAACTGTACTATAGTACAAGGAACAAGGAAACGGAAGTCACCATTTTATAGCCTAGTGATTTCCGTTTTCTTGTTCCACGCATTCTTTTACATTTCAGCTTCACCCTAGTGATTCATTCTATATAGCTGTAACAAAAACTGGAGCATTATGAAAACTTAAAGCACTCCCAAAGGATTTGTTTTCTGTCAGATTTTCTTCTTTGTGCTTAGCTGACGAGCGTCATACTTGTCAGTCATTGGATGGCCAATCATCCAATGAGTGGGCACGCACAAGGCAAACTAATCCATCGGGCTCGGTTTTCTTCTTCTCACTGGAAAAACAAAGGTGCTATCTAATGCCTTTTTAGGCATTAGTGAAATAGTGCCTTTACAAAGGCGCGACTGGCCCCTAAAGGTGCTATTTTTGGCAATTTTAGTGTCTTTACAAAGGCATTAGTGCAGTTGCACCTTTAAATGCACCATGGTGTTATATAGCACCTTTGTTTTTGCAGTGCTTTGGGGATGTTTGATCCTTGGTTTTGCCCGCAGGTTCCGGCGACGCTGTCCACTTCTGCTCTGCTCCGCTTGCCTCTGCTGATCTGGTGCTGTCACCGCCACCGCCTCGCACACCGCCTGCTGTCCGGACAAAGGGTTGAGCATAGCGACCTGTTCAAACCTGTCATCACACGAGGCGCGGCGCCAAGTGGCCGACGAGGTCACGCGTCAGCGCAGGTGTCACTCCGAGTGCGGTCTTGTGTCGCGTGGGATGGGAAATGGGACATTCCGGTCCATTTTAAAGCAGAAGTTTGACGAGGGGCGTTCGCCTCATGATCATGTTCGCTCACGGGCTGAGTGGCGACAGCAAAGTCAGCGAAATGACCTTCTATAATGAAAGCACCGGAACCAGTTCTGAAATAAGGATTAATATCAGTGCCAATGAAGCTATCGACAGTGTCTCGATTTACTCGGGGTTCATATATGTCGAACTTGTACGAGAAAAGAGAAAATTCGGCAAAATAAAGCATTCCGGTTAAGCTAAATCGCAGAACAATGCGAGGAACAAGAATGTTCAAGCATAGTGATTTCCGTTTTGTGGTTCCCCGCATTTGTCTTCTTTTCAGCTTTACAGGAATGCTTTATTTAGATACGGGTTCCAGTCCTGATTTTCAAAGCGCGGAGCCAGAAAAAGAGCCTTATTATGGTTGCCTATTTTCCGGGGTTTTGTTGGGAAATTACCTACCCACCCTAGGGGGGCGGTTTGCGCCTCATTAAACCGCACCTATCCCGACCCCGACCTATGATTTTGTTCTTCTGTCCGACAGACATTTGGAGCAGCATACTGTTTCAGGCCCAGTAGCGAACCGCGGAAAATAGCGATGGGGCCGACCCGACCCGCCCGCGGCCTGCTGTAGTTCAGGCTTCCTCCGCCAGGCCGCGCCGCCGCGATGTGCCGGGACATGGCCGGGACTCCAGCCGGTCCAGGCTGCACCGCCACCGCCGCTGCTGCTGCTGCTGCCGCTGCCGCTGCCGCCGCCGCACGACAGGTCCGTGCCGGTCGGGCCCGAGCGAGCCGAGCCGAGCCGAGCCCGAGGCTCGCCAGTACCGAGTCTGCGCTCCGCCGTACGCGTCGCCCGCGCGTGTTCCGTCCGCAGCGCGCCGTGCTCGCGGCTCTCGCGAACCCCACGAACACTCCCTCTAACAAGTGTCTCGCGTGTTGTGCACCTCCATCTCGCGCGCGTGTGTGTGTGTGTGTGCGTGTCAGTGTGCGAATTCCACCGCCCTCTGGATTTGTGTGGAAACCAAGTGCAGTGTGTAGTCTTAGATTTTTAAATTAGCTTAATAGCCCTTATTCTAAAGAAAGTTTTCGTAAATAGCTGGAAAAGTGATTAAATGCAGTGTTGGTGAATTTTCTATCGCTGGTTTAGTGCACAGCAGAGGTGGATGACTGTGGATTTGCATCCTGGTCCCTCTGCTGGTTAAAAAAATTGAAATGAGTGTGTGAAATCGTGTTCCCTGCAAGAGAAGGATACCGGATCAGTCAGTCGCCGTCGGATTATTGTGTTCAGTTATCAAAAAAGAGTCCGATACCAGGATTTGGTCGGCTCTTAGTGTGTGTTTTAAGTGTCCCTACGGGGAAGTTAGTGATGTGTGCGCATTTTATGGATACAACCGACTGACTTTGGATACTTACACACTCAGTCTAAGGTGAGTACATTCTTATACAATGGTCTTTATTTCGCCATTGTTTGTGATAAGTTAAAATAGGTGGGTTGGAGAACAAAAATTTTCAAAATGCTGGTGTTTATGAATTTTAAATGGAGGGGGAGATAGGATAACGGGAAGGTTGGTGAATTTTGGGGGAGGCTCTGATTTCGTTCCATTCTAGGGAATGCCGGTCATAAATTATTTATCCCCGGCCTCGTGATGCGGCCGCTGCCCGGGACACGGTCCGGACGCGTTTTGCGGGCCGCGATTCGCAGAGATAGTCGCGCCGGGGACGGGTCTGGACGTGTCGTAAGTGCGGGCGGCGGCGCGCCGAGATGCGGGGGTCTGCCTCTCCGCGCGGACGGGTGTCGTGGGGGAGGACGACACGGCACCGAGCGCAGCACGCAGGATGTGCGATCCGGCAACATCTCACGGCGGGCAGGAGGGCCGGCGGACGGCGAGCAACGACAGGGCGGGCGGGGCAGGGCCGGCAGGGCAGGGGGTCGAACTGGGGCGTTGGGGGCATGCGGCGGGCGGGCGGGCGCCCCCTGGGCCTTCAAGACGAGAAGGGTCACGGAGCTGCACGCGAACCGCACCGGCCATGTCGTAACGCGACGAGGAGGGCCTGAGCTGCGGCCGGCACGACGGGGTGCCCATACTTGACCCTCGACCTCCACGACGCCCCCCAACCCCTCGTTGAGAGTAGATGCAGCTGCGCCAAAGTCTAGTGCGTTGTGCAGTTCCCTTGGTATGGCAGCTCGTGTGTGTCTCTAACGCCGACCTGGCAGATGTCCTCGGGCCCTAGCAGTGGGGCAGGGCAGGCCCCCGGCAGGTAGAGGGAGAGGTGGGCTGGGTGCATGCGGCCGATGCATCAGCGGGTGCGGTGCGAGCGGAGCAGCGGCTGGGCAGGTGCGGGGCCCCGGCCGGGCCGAGCCGAGCCGGGGCCGCGAGGAGGCGAGCCGGCAGCCCTGCTCGGCTCGGGCCGTGCAGCCCAGGGCATTCTTTGTTCCTTGTCGCTCTGTCCAGCTCCAGTACGCACGCCCGATGGCCGGAGTACCCGGTACCGGGGCCCGCTGAGCTGTCTGGAACCAGGCCTTTGTTGTGGGATTAAAGCAAAGGCTTGTGGGGGGGACACTGACAGGAAGCAATTTCGACACTCTCTTCCCCCCCTCCCCTTCTCCTCCGCGCGACCTTCGGTTTACATTCCATTTTCCTGGCTAGTTCTGTTTTAACGCACTGTGAGCTAGAGGGAGAGCAGCAACTATGCGCCGCGCTGATGCAGCTGATAGCGCGCTTTTTACTGTACTTCCCTCTCATTTCCTTCTAAAGACCTCCACTAGTATGGCGAGCGATCCGAACCACTCCTACTCTCCTCCCTGCTCGCTCCCGCCTGACGCAAAGGGGGTGGGGTGGTGCGGCGCGGATCTCCCGCGAAAGACTTGCGAATGTACTTGTGGGGGGAGGGGGAGGGTGGTGGATAGAAGAGACGGGAATTCAACTCTGGAAACTCATTAGAGATCACTCACTGTCGGTTCGAGCGTGCTGCTGCCCGACCGCGAGCAGCGACGTCACAGTCACATCAGCTGATGGGGCGTTGTTATTTGTCCCCGATAGACACACATAAACGAGTAACGGGGTGGGGGGAAGGGGCTGCACTCCGGGTCACCATGACGGTACGAAATGCCGACAATAACTCGACCTCTGCTGCTTTCCCTCGGCTGTTGTCCCCCTCCCCCACATGTGGGCCTCCCACGTGATAAGTCTGATACTTTGTTTACATTTTTTCCTCCTCCGAGGGGGCGTTAGATGAAGGGGGGCTCGTTGGCCGTTTAATTAGTTGGACTTGGATGGATGGCCAGGCGGGCGTTGTGTTCTAGCCGCCCCGCCCCGCCCCGCCGCGCCCTGCCCACGAATCGCGCCGCCGCCGCCGCCTCGACGCGCTCGATTTTTCCTCTCCATGTATCGCGGTCCGGTAAATGGTCGCTAATGAGGCACATTCCTCCGACCTGAAGGCTGGCCGGCCGGCGAGACGCAAGACACGGCAGCGGGGCGGGGACGGCGCGGTGGGGGCACCGTCACCGCCTGGTCACAGCCAGCGCTGCAGGCCAGGTTGCCTACCCTGGTCCATTTCAGCCCCCGCTCCTCTCTCTCTCTCTGTCACTCACTCACTCACTGCCTCACACACTCCTTACTCACTCTCTCTGCAATAATAAGCGCATTGGCAACTCTGAGAGCACGCTGCTGCGCCATGTCGGCCGGTCAATGGAAATCGATACTATTTTTCCCTCTCTTTTATTTTAAATGGCAGATTATTTGTTTTCGCCTTTGGCCGTGTCGGGGCGATTGTGTTTGATGGAGTTCCATAATCCCGCAGTAATAATAGACTTATCGGCCTCGATATGCTGGGCGTGGCGGGGCGGGGCGGGGCGCAGCGTGTCCGGCGCGGCGTTCACACATATCTCCGTGCCCGGCGCGGCGCGGCCGGGCCTCTGCTTTTATAGCGATAAAGCAATAAAGCGCCGCGCTGCTGGCCGCTGGCCGCTCTGACAGACGTATCCGCCATCTTAATGGTGTCCTGGTTGGAGAGGGAGAGGGTGGGGGGCAGCGTTCTGTTGGGGTAGCAGCGCCACGAGCTGGGCAGGTGGCTGGCAGGTGACCACAGGTGACCCGGGCCGATTGACTCATCCCCTGGCGCAGCTCAGCCCGCAGGTCCCGCGCGGTGCCTCTCCTGGCCCAAAACCGCCGTGCCCGCGGTGCTCGGAGAGTGACTCCGGCTGTCGCTCCGCGGCCCTCTCTCTGTCCGTCCGTGCGGCCCCGACGGGTCCCGAGCTGTCCGTCCTGTCCCGCCCGTCAATAGGCCGCGCGCTCTGCGCCGGGATCGGACGCTCCGCGCGGTCCACTTGCATTAATCAAATCGGGATTGATACGTCCAGACCGGCCGATCCGGCGCGGCCGCGGGGACCTGGTGGGGACCTGGTCTGGTCCGTCCGGGGGCGGCCCTGCCCGGCACTAACGGGACTCGCGCGGAAAGGGGGGGAAGGGGGGGGCTGTATTTGCATTGTGCGGCGGGCAGGGGCTCAAATGACGAAGGCTCCGGACCGTTAAGAAGCTCATTCCATTTGTGGTGACAGACCCGCCGCGCAGCCCCCGCGGCACGCCGGTGTATATGCTGCTGACCGTCTTGCTCACTCTCGGAGCCAGCTGTGTGTAGGAGGTTTTGCGCGCAAGCTGCCAGAGGAAAATACAAGGGAGGGGGGGGGGGGGTTCTGGCTCAACTCATCATTTTCGCATTCGGAAAAATTGTGCGCGTCGCTGTTGCGTGCGGCGGCTGCGGCGACTGTTTCCAGCTGGTTTAGCGGCCTGACCGGTCTGGTACACCCGGGGGGGGGGGGGGGGGGGGGGGTCTGTCTCGTCAGGACGCTGCACCCGCCGGGGCTGCGCGTCGGGGAGGCGTCAGCGGGCGTTAGGAGCGCGGCGGGGAGCGCCGTGGATGGAAATCGAAATAAATACCCGAGTAAAGTGAACTAATTTATTTCCAAAGAGCGGCCAGTGAGTGTGCTTTCTGGAGTTTGAACCGGTCTGTGCCCCCCTTCCCTTCTCCCGTCTCCGCCCTGCAGGACGCCGGTTTTTGCTTTAATTGCCCCCCCCCCCTTCCTCCTCCCCTCACCGTCAGCCAGCCCGGGCGGGGGGCAGTGACACGCTCAAGAGAGGGAGAGAGAGAAGAAGGTGTCCGCCCGCCTTTCTCACATTTGTTTGTTGAGGGCGGGGCTTGCAGACAGAGAGAGAGAGAGAGAGAGAGAGAGAGAGAGAGAGAGAGAGAGAGAGAGAGGCGCGGTACGTGCGGAGAGGTCCAGGCGATCTGCGCGCGGCGATACCGCGGCGACCTCGGCGGCCCCCGGGCCGGTATGAGCCGTGCCGAGGTCAGTTCCATTACGGGTGCTGAGCGGGTGCTGAGCGAGTGCTGAGCGGGAGCACGGCCCCCGCCGTCGTCAGCCCTCTTGTGCCGCCCAATGGTGGGCCGTCCAATTAATTGAACCGACACCGATACAGCATCTGTGGAATCCTCGGGCGGTGCCCGACCGGCCCCTGGCCAGCATGCTCGACAGCGGCAGATTCCACCACCGCCTTTCCTGCCCGCTACCGGATGCTCTCTATTCCTCTGCGGCCCGCGCGCCGCGCACACTCTGACCGGCGGCCACATGTTGTGGTTCGGTTTGTCAAGTAGGGCTCTCTAACTCGCGCGGAGGAGAAATGTTTTGCTTATGTCAGGGGGAGGGGGGAGGGGATGGTGCTTGAACATACACGTACGCAAATAATGTTGCAACCTGACTTTGGGCCGGCCGGAGCGCCCGCACCCCGCACATACACACGCACACACTGTCACGTTCTAATCAGTTCCGTGGCGCGGCTGCGCAAACAGAAACGCACCGCGCGTCGCTGTGTGGGTTTTCTTTATCCGATCGTTTTACGACACGGCCATAAACTGCCGAATTTCACTTTTTTGGCTTAATAAAGCGATAAAAGCGGTGCTATCGGCAGCCAGCGAGTGCGCGTCGCCCAGAGGCTTTTTCTCCGGCAAAAGCCGATGTAATTTCTCTCTCTCCCTCCTGGCCGGCGGTGTGGCGCGCGGCGCGGGGGCAGAAGGGACGCTGGGCGCGACGCGGCCGGCGTGGATGCTGTGATAGCATCTTAAGTGGGGTCCACGCTCGCTGCCTGCGTTTTATCAATCGCGGTCGGAATGCCATTAATGCCGGATTTTTTTTTATTCCCGCTGAGCTCTCGTCAGGAGAGGGGCTGCGTCCGAGATGCCGCAGTCGTGCGCTCTGCGCGCAGGGCCGGGGGGAGGG